GGCGTGCTGCGAATGTGCAGGACCCGGGTGGCTATTCCTGGCGGCCCCCGCCTGCGCAGGCAGATTGGTTTGCAGGGAGGTGACAAGTGCCAGCCGAAGCGTATAAAAATCTCCCAGCCCCTGTTCTGGCTCAGTGACCCGTTTCCCCCCTCCCAGCACAGCTGTCCCAGAGCGGAGACCGTCCGTCCAGAGTGGAGACGCCTGGTCCAGAGCAGGCACCCCGGCTTCGGAGTCAAGATCCCAGATCTGGAGGAGAGACCTTTAGTCTGAAGCAGGGACCCCAAACCAGAGCAAAGATCCCAGAGCAGAGACCCCAAAACATCCTCTTCCCCAGCCCCCTGAATCTGCAGCAATGACCGGCAAAACAGCACCTCCAGCCACAGACCCGGCTCCGGAGGCTCCGAAGAAAGGGCCAGCACCAACCCCAAAGGAAGAACCGGCCCCAGCCCCAAAGGAAGAACCGGCCCCAGTCCCAAAGGAAGAACCAGCCCCAGCCCCAGTCCCAAAGGAAGAACCAGCCCCAGCCCCAGCTGCTGAAGACCCCCCGGCCCCAGAGCAACCCCCTGCCACCGAGCACCCAGCAGCCGAACCTGCTCCTGTCCCCACAGCAGAAGAGGCTCCAGCCCCTGAACCTAAGCCTGAGAAACCAAAGGCAGGTGAGGACGGGACCAGACACTGAAGTGGGGAGGGGAGACGTGCAAGGCTGGGAGGGGACATGCGGGGGTGCCAGTGTGAAGGGATGGAGGGATGAAGTCATCAAGGATATTTTTGCAGTGGGATAGGGCTGGGGGATTAGGAGGATGGGGGGGCTGAAGACCAACACGGAGGTTAGGCGATTGCCCTCCAACAGCCCCAGTACTCAAGAGCCTGTCCTCACCACTGTGGGTTTGTTACAGAGGCGCCCAGCTCCCCCTTGTCCTTGGCTGTGGAAGACGTGAGTGAAAACTCGGTTACGCTGACCTGGAGAGCCCCGGAGCAGATAGGCCGGGCGAGCCTGGATGGATACGTCGTGGAGATCTGCAAAGATGGAAGTAGGCTTGGGCTTTACTGCCTCGTAAGCATGGAGAGCTGGTGTGTTACTGCGGAGGCATGGGATGGAGCTGGGCAGAACCTGGCAATGTGTTTTCCCAGGCTCCATTTCCCTTTCTTTGCCCAAATGGGTTAATTTTAAATGGTTGGGGTGTTTCCATGGAGGAGAGGGGCTCCTCACTGGTTTCAGACAGTACTGATGTTGTTAGCAGGGGAGCTGGACCGGGTTTAATGTCACTGCCATGTCCAGCTAGAGGGTGGAGGAGAGACCAGGACACCCACTGAGGATGGTCTCTGATGAACTCCAGCTCTGCAGAGACCTGGGGCTGGGATGGTGATGCAAGACCTTAGGACAAAGAAGATGCAATTCTCCCATGTTTGCCCAAAATGAAGTGCAGAAGGAATGGGGATAAGGTGGGAGGATGAGGGAGGAAAGGATCCTGGGCAGCACAAGAGGGGCTGGCATGCATCAAGAGGCAAGCCCTGCCCAGTGGAGATGGGGCTCGACATGCCTGGAAGGAGGATGGCTGCGGTGGATGGAGGTGGGCTGGGGGGTGGCAGCAATTATCCGTGGTTCTCCGGTTGCATTGCTGGTTGGTGGAATGGGGTAGGTGGGTAAGAGTTGTGTTTTGGGCACTATCCCGAAACCGTGCTTGGCTTTGGGGCGAGAGTGAATGAGCTGTGTGGCTGGGGGGGTTCTGTGGTTTAACCCCTCAGGCAACTGAACACCACCCGGCCGTTCGCTCACTCCCCTCCCAGTGGGACAGGGGAGAGAATTGGGGAAAAAAAAGTGAAATTCATGGGTTGAGCTAAAGACAGTTTAATAGGACAGAAAAGGAAGGGAAAATAATAACAACAATAATAATGATGATGCTAAAAGAATATGCAAAACAAGTGATGCACAATGCAATTGCTCACCACCCACCGACCAATGCCCAGCCCGTCCCCGAGCAGTGATTGCTGCTCCCCGGCCAACTCCCCCCCGCTTCTA